AACTCAGTTTAATCCAATTTATTTTACATTTTCTACAAATCAGTAAAATTAGGCAGTCAATTAAAATTTCATGGTCTACAGTATTATCTTTAGACAAAACTGGGAGCAATACTCTAGTTAATAATCTAACTATAAAAATAGCACTATTGCTCTAGTTTCAGGAATAAGAAATTTTAATTGCCCAATGTCCTAATTTTTTGTAGTTTAAGAAATTTAGCGATTGCTAGTCTTCCATATCCTCAAATTTCATGATGGCCTGTGGCTGATATAAACAAAAAATGAGAGCCTTCACATTTCCTAGTTCCCCAGTGGAGGCTACATAGATAGCTCTACTTTCTATAGGCGGACAAAGTACATACTGGATATGTATTTGCTTAGTTGTTGCGATAAAGTGGATGATGTGAATGCTCATGTCTATTCTATTTATGAAGTTTAAATGAATGGCCAGCACATGCAACCCAGCAAAGCAAGGGTGAAAAGATTTCCTATTGGTCTTCAGGTGGTTCCTTAGAATGACACAGATCTGACACCTGGTCCAGGTGAGTGTCTGAGAGTTTATTTAAGGTCATCTGTCTTCCTGATGCTTCATCACCACAGCTCCTCAAGTAAGCAACACTGTAAGTCAGGCAAATGGGCAGGGCCACACTTTCATTCTCGGGGTCTGCCTCTCACATTCCCGACAGGGGGAGATTGCAGGGTTGTATGTTCAGTCATGCCATGGAGCCTGCTTTCAACTCCTTGGTTAACACTGTCATGTGTATGCATGTTGGTGGCTCCGTTTTCCACATGTTCCATTTTCTAATGCCACTGTGAAATCTCCCAGGGTCACCTGTCAGACAGCTTGTATTTCTGAATTTCTACTTTTTATGCTCAGAATGCAGTTAAAGGAATAGTGTGGTCCCTCACCGTACTCACTATTAATTTTCTGTTGTTAAATGGTTATAATACATCTGCACATGTAAATGTCTTAAAATTCTAATATTATGGAACATTTTAAATGCAAGTGCCTTAATTTGTGATTTAGTCATCTAAATAGAATACTAAGCTTTGGTAATTTGGGGAAATTTTTTTCTATTCCATTGTGTAAACAATTGAACTACTCTAATTAAGTGGATATTTGAGAAGAAAGACCAGAGAGAAAGGATATGCTCATTGAGCTGTGGAATGAATATAGAGGAAGAATTGTGGAGGAAACACATACCTCGTAAGGCAGGTATCAGCTCAGAGAGGCCAAAACTGAGACAGTCCAGGGGCTGATCAGCATGAGTGAATTAAAGACACAGACGTAATGCAGGGCGTGGACACACCAGGCAGGGGTAAGAACCAGGCGAGAGTCAGAAACTCTAGTCTGTGACATGCAGGAAACAAAGGCCAAATATTAGTATCAGGAAAGAGTAAGAATAAAATTAATCACTGGCACATAATTAATTCAGTTCTCATAACCACCTTAGTACCATTCCCAAAATGAAAATGAGAGATTGTGGATGGTAGAGTTAAATGCCAAGGACACAGAGAGGAAGTTGCATGTATTCACCAACTGGTCTTCGGAACACACCTTCCAGGTCCCTCTGTTCAAACTACACTGTGACCCAGAACTCCCTCCTTTCCTTGTTGCTTCTGTTCAAGAACTTGGGAAAGTGCTTTGATTCTCTAGCACAGTGGTTCTCAACCTTCTGGCCCTTTAAATATAGTTCCTCATGTTGTGACCCAACCATAAAATTATTTTCGTTGCTACTACATAACTGTAATGTTGCTACTGTGATGAATCGTCATGTAAATACCCGATATGCAGGATAGTCTTAGGCGACCCCTGTGAAAGGGTCGTTTGACTGCCAAAGGGCTCGCGACCCACAGGTTGAGAACCGCTGCTCTAGCAGGACCAGAAACCAGTTCATCAAAAACTGAGTGAGGGACTGCTAATGAGGAGTCAGACTGAGTACTAGGAATGTAAACAGCTCACAGCATTCAATCCCCATTGCTCAGTGACAGATAATATGAACATTTATGGGTTAAAGAAAGGACAGAACAAAACTTCTTTATTCTTATATACATTTTTGCATGCTGATCATATGAAAACAAGATGGCTTCTTAGAAATACAGTGGGGCCTTGACTTACGAGTTTAATTCGTTCCGAGACCGAGCTCATTAAGGAGCTCATTAACTCAAATTACTCCATCAACTCAATGCAAAAAATCGGCCGAGAGACAGCTGGTATCTCAAAAAACTCATTAGTCGGGACACTTCTAAGTCAAGGCCCCACTGTAAAGATAATCTTTATAAACTGAAGTTCGACTCATAATGAATTGATCCATGCTTCTCAAATTTTATTGTGCATGCCAGTCACTGGTTATCTTGATAAAATGCAAAGTCTGATTCATATTCTGAGATTCAAACACATAAGACTCTAGGATCTAATGGCAATTCATCAGAAACTAATTCTATATGTTAACTCATAGTTAACATATTAGTTTACTGCGAGTAAAGTGAGGTGATTCTAGAAAGAGCATGCATGCCAGAGATAATCAGAGATGACCTTCCATCCCCTCTCTAACACAAATTCACTATTTAGTCGTAGATGGATTTTAAATGTTTTGTCAGTCTGCCTCCTCAGTACTTCAGATATCACTAGGCACTTGAAAAATAGTGATTAAGAGTCCAAAAGAAATAAATAGTTTCAATGATGACAATTTTAATTCAATTTAACAAACAGTATTGAAATGCTAGGAGCCTGCAAAGGGTGATTATGAAACTACTGTTAACATGACTTGTTCCTTTCTGAAAGTTAAGGGGGAAAAATTAAATGATAAACATTGGCATTACTAGTTGGGAAATTTGTCTGATGGCTTTTAGGTATATTTTTTATTCATTTAAAAATGTTTTATTAGCCAAAATTTAATGTTTTTATGTTGCTCAAAATTCTTAGTTATTCTTTTTTTTAAAAAATATTTTATTGATTTTTTACAGAGAGGAAGGGAGAGAGATAGAGAGTTAGAAACATCGATGAGAGAGAGACATCGATCAGCTGCCTCCTGCACATCTCCTACTGGGGATGTGCCCGCAACCCAGGTACACGCCCTTGACCGGAATCGAACCTGGGACCCCTCAGTCCGCAGTCCGACGCTCTATCCACTGAGCCAAACCGGTTTCGGCCTTAGTTATTCTTAAATTTTGGTGGTAGATCATGCACCCACATGCTTCTCACTTTGACCTCTTCTAATTAAATCAGAGAAACTGTATTTGGCCAGATGTGTGCTGCATAGTATAATAGCTTTGTTACTGTGTCAATAATTGTAGGATTCAATTGTTGATGCAAATTGGGACCAAGAAACTAGATATTTCAGAAATTAAATAAGATATCTAATGTCTGCTGTTGGGGAGTATTCCAAGATAATGACTTAAGAACAATCTGACTGTGTACCATGAACTATTCTAAACCCAGATGTGGTCCCTTCCTCTAACCTGAGGACAGAAAGCAGAACCTGTCACTAGCAATAAACCCAACAGCAGCAGCTGGTTTTATAAAAGCTGTAGTTGGCTGGTATTTGCTGTGTTTCAAATCTGGTAATTAATTATATTAGTTACATTGCATGTAATACACATACTAGAAACAAATATGTTTGCAATGCAACAGGTACTGTTTTGTTATTGTTAATGGATGTGGCATGCATACCAACCCTCTTGCCTCTCTTGCCTTCAGAACTATTGGCATTAAAATTTGTTTACATAGTCCTGGTAGGGTGGTGCAGTTGGATGGAGCATAATTCCGTACACCTAAAGGTTGCAGGTTTGATCCTGGGCCTGGGAGCGTACAGGAGGCAACCGATCCATGTTTCTCTTTTTTTCTCCCTTCCTCTCTCTCTAAAATCAATCGAAAGAAAGAAAGAAAGAAAGAAAGAAAAAAATAGAGAGAGAGAGAGAGAGAGAGAGAGAGAGAGAGAGAGAGAGAAGAAGAAGAAGGAAGGAAGGAAGAAGGGAAGGAAGAAGGAGAAGAGAGGAGAGGAGAGGAGAGGAGAGGAGAGGAGAGGAAAGAAACTAATTTCAGTTTCCCCTATTACAACAATCTGATGTTTGCTTTTGAGTATTTCTGAGTTTCATCCAGATATAATAACAATCATTTTATGAATGATTGGGACTTATTAAACAGCTACCCTTCCATTGTGACTGTATGATTATATGCATTTTAGGAACATTTCATTAGGTCTGATTTATAAAGCCTTCATCTTTCCACTCCACTAGGCCACATAACCAGTGGAGGTGGGGTGGTGTCTTTGGACACAGAACCCTGTGGGTGGCCCTAAGGCACTAGCGCTGGCAAACTTTGTCACGGTTGAGGTGGAGCACACTGTTGTTTGGTGGCTGGAAGTGATAAATTAGAGCAGGTTTACAAAGCCAGCAAACTGGCTTCCGTTTCACTAATACCACGTTCACTTTTCACCAGAAAGTTGCCTTTTCAAAATGCACAGTGAATAGTTACTTTTGCTATTCTTCAAACAAATGGGCATTGCAGCGTCAAGCGCTCTTCTGATTTTTAAAAAATCTTTATTGTTGAAAGTATTACCTATGTCCCCTTTTTCCACCATTGACCTCTACCAGCCTGCCCCGCCCCCCAGCCCAGGCCTTTACCCGCTGTTGTCTGTGTCCATGGGTTATGCATATATGCACACAAGTTCTTTGGTTGGTCTTTACCTCTCCCGACACCCGGCCCACCCTCCCCCGCCTCCCCTCTGAGGTTCCACAGCCTGTTTGATGCTTTTATGTGCCTGGAAGGCAACAACGACCTCCCAGGTTAGGGCACAAGAATCATCACCTGTGTCAGGTCAAAAGCAATGGCCTTTATTCCAGTGCGTGGAGGCCAGCAGGCCTGCGGGGAGGACGCGGTACCGGGAGGCCAGTGTCACCGGCACCTGGCGGGTTAGGAACGTGTTGGATGGATGGATGTGATCGGTGAGGACACCCATTGCCGAGAGCCCGCTCCCATCAACCACATCTTTTCTCTCTAGAGTGTTTGTCTTGGAGGACGGCAGCCTGAAGATCCAGAATGCCAGCAGGTCGGACGCCGGGCCCTACACCTGCGTGGCCACCAACCCCTTCGGGGTGGCAAGGAGTACGGGCGGCCTCGTGGTGAAAGGTATGTGGTCCCCGTCTGCAGGCAGACTGGAGAGGCATGTGCACATGCGGCCTCGGTCGTGTCTAACCCACATCCCATTGTGTATGGGAGACGTTTGATTTCACGATTTATTGAGATGTGTCCCAGGTTCCCTAATAACGTGCCCTCTGCCAGTGGCAGGCCACGGTTGAAGGGAGCCCGCTGGCAGTGGAAATGCTCTCAGTGGGTAATGAGAGTTAAATCCTGCACCTAAATATCTGAATTTCCACAGATGCCTCAGTGCAAGAGCTGGGCGGGGCGGAGATATTTTGATCTAGTCAATGGATACTATTTCTGTTGGTTAAATGTCCTTCAGAAACTCATTTCATATGAAAGTTTTACCTACATGTGAGGCTGCTTGGCGCATCACCAGTGCAGGTATTTCTCTAACCCCGGGTACTTAATTGGTGAAACGCAGGCTCTCTCGCATACACTTTAAGGAGCAGGATTTTCAAAGGGGAGACAATTAAAATATCAGTGTCGGTGCAGGTCGCTGTTGTGTCCCGTCACGGTAAACAGACACTCACACAGTCCGTTCTTCAGCTTCCACCCTGGCGTCACTCCACACGCACCCTGTTCATCGCACAGGGACACAATTAGGGAAGAAGTGTCTACTCCCCGACTTTGCCATTTCACTGTGTTGAGCCTCAGCTCATAAAAGCAGCATGTTTACTGGGACCATGTCGCTGTCATGGTTCCACCGCCTCCCGGATGATAAAAATGACGGTCTTGATAAAGCAGTTTGAGCAGCTAATTAAGCCTAAATGATTAAACTCAGCCATTGGTGCTTTATCATCATTTTTTATTAAGAATAAATGTCTTCCACAGAAAGGAATTAGCTGCTACATTCCAGCTATCCTTTAAGCTGCCTACAGAATCACTGGCAGGGGTGCCCACATTGCCTCACACACTGTGCCTTTGTCTGAGACACTCGGGAAGTGCTTCTGGTGTCCACCAGGGGGCGCGATTTGAGGCCGTCACTTCATTGCTACTGTATTGTCTTACGGTTTCTAAGACAGAAGTGGACAGTGTTTCAAGGAGTGTCTGTAGCTACTTTAAGAAAGGTGGTTTCTCCGGCCAATGTCTGGTAGTGTCCCTGGGCTGAGAAGTGTAAGTGCTCTCCGTTAGAAAACATAACATGTTCATTAAGGAGAAAACAAGATGTATTGCCTCATTCAAATTAAGAAGGGACCCAGCTGGCGTGGCTCAGTGGTTGAGTGTACACCTATGAACCAGGAGGTCAGGGTTAAATTTCTGGTCACGGCACATGCTCTGGTTATGGGCTCTATTCCCAGTGAGGGGTGTACAGGAGGCAGCCCATCAATGATTCTCTCTCATCATTGATGTTTCTTTCCCTCTCCCTCTCCCTTCCTCTCTGAATATATATGTAACAAATTTACAAGAGCTCAGGGATGGGTTCATTTCCAGCAGCAGGTTGGAACCTGGTCACTGCAGCTCACCTTCCCCGGATGAGAAATCCATGGGGAGTCGCACAGGAAGGGTGAAGGATGGGGGATGGCAGTCGTAGAAATGTCATTTCTCTGAGTTTCTGCGAAATACGTGGGCGGGGGGCGGGGGGGGGAGCTGGATCAATGGTTTTGCTGCTAAAATGCAATGCTGGGGATCTGTTCACTCCAGAGAATAAGAAAAAAAGTTCCTGGGTGGACTGAGCCGATGAAGTTCCTCTTCCTCAGATGTTTCCCGGGCCTTCGGCATCATGCTGCTGGCAGGGAGTCATTAACAGGAGGAAGAGAAAGGAGAACACTCACTCCTGGAGGAACTCCGGGAGGCGGGACTGCTTGGTTCTGAGGCAGGAACTGGGTATTTCAGATGAGCCACGTGTCCAGGCTTCTGCTGAGGAGGTTCCCAGCTCTTAGGATGAAGACAGTGGTCTTCACTGGGGCTGCTCCACAAATGACACCAAAGTCCCAGGGACGCCCCTTTCTCTACGAGTGAGAAAATAGCTAAATAGGGTTGCTCAGTGGGGAAAAAACAACTGACTCATGTTTTGCTTATTTCTGGTGTTTCTCCCTGGGGCTGTGGAAACAAATGATCCAAACAAACGATCCAAGTCGTCATTCCCGGTCGCCTTAATCTTCTCCACTCTTTCTTCTTCGGGCAATTTTTTCTTCTTCTAACAAACTAACAATTCCATTATTTATTAGGTCAGCGATTTTCCGTCTATCTTCTCCTTCCTCTAGTAGAGAAGCATGAGGAAGGCAGGGATGGTCCCGGGGACTGTATGTGTCCCATAAATATTGATTGATGGAGTGCAAGAGTCCCATCTTCCACCCCTTCCTTCACATAATTTCCACCTGGATTTCCTTGCTCTGGAATCTGAAAGATTTCAATGTTTCAGAGTTTAAGCTTCTTAGAATACTTTGCAATACGGGGCATCAAGCCCTGGCCGGTGGCTCAGCTGGTTGGAGTATCATCCCATAATCCAAAAGATCATGGGGTTCAATTCCCAGTTAGGGCACCTACATAGGTTGCAGGTTCAGTTCCCACCCAGTCAGGGTGTGTATAGGAGGTGACTGATAGATGTTTTTTTCTCTCTCTTCTTCTCTCAAATCAGTACCAGTGAACATACCTTTGGGTGAGAATAGGAAAAAAAGGAAGGAAAGTCTCCTATTGTCAAACCCTCTTAATGAGACTCCTACCTGTAATTCCCTTTCATGTTAGAATGTTGAAGGTATCACTGCCAAAGAATGATTGCTTTACAACCTACAAATGTGAAGTGTTAATCTGAGAAAGAATTTTAATAGTATGCATTGGTGCAACCATTTTCTTGACTATTAAGAGTGTAGTCAACTGGTTGTTTGTTAAACTGGTTTAGTGTGTGTGCATGTGTGTTCTCATCTAGAATGTCCATCTGATTGTCATTACACAGTCAACTGTAATTATGTTTCTCAAACCCAAATCATCACATAGTGACCTACAGGGTGGTAAGGAGCAAATGAGAAATTTCAGTAAAGCTGACAAAACAATCATCTCTCTTTAAATTTCTTTATCAGCCTCAGTCATGCAAGACATGTTGTTGTTAGATAGCTTGTAAGAAGATAATAGTTACAAGAGGGAGGAGATACTTTCCAGCTTAGTTTTTAGCTGATAAGGCTTATCTGTGTTTAGAGGGTTTGGAAGTTGTCTGAGCTGCATATCTGGGATTTCTGTTTCCCTGATGCAGGGAGGAGGCCATTTCCACCCAGACATCCCAGCGTCCTTAGCACCAGCCTTTCCGGGGCGTGGAAGGCAGGGACATGGAATGCGGGGGGCATGCAACAGGAGGGCGTGGAAGGCAGGGCGTGGAACACAGTGACATCGAACACAGGGACGTCTCCCACGGCACACACAGAGAGTGAGAGGAGAGAGAGCTTAGTGTTCTTGAGCTGGCAGACTTGGATTAGAATTACAGGGCGACGTATACTGCGAGTATATGAAGATCAAACCAGAGGGGGAATTATTCGATCTGGCGTTTGGAAAATTATTAAAAGCGGAGGAACAGCAGGCTGTGAAACGGCCTTGTTTGCAGGCAGCATTTGTTTTCCTTCCCCCACCGGAGAAGTTGGGGATGTTCAATTATAGGCCTCATTGCCTCAGCATTATTTTCAACAGAGACGTCGGAACTTGGAAAAGCATATCTAATGTGCGAATTAAGTTTATTGCTGTTCGTTTAGTTGTTTATTCTTCGTGCTAGAGTCCTTCTGATGCCAGCTAGGCCGGATGTCCACATTCGGCGGCAGCAGGAGCCTGCACGTTAACGTGGGTCTCCGTTACGCAGAGAAACTCCAAGGTGGGTGGCGAGTGAGGCTTAAGGGCCGGAGTGTGAGGGCCAGCTCCAAGGAGAAGTGGCTTCGAGTCCATCACCAGGACAATTTCATGGAAATGACAAGAATTCACCAACTTATGGATGGAAACAGTTTCGAGAAGTCTCCCAGCGCTGAGGGAGGTCATTAGCCCTGAAAAGGCTGAGTTCTCCACCCAATTCCCTGCCCAGCCCACTCTCAGGGGTTTCTTCTCCGCAGATTTCATACACAGTCTGGCAGTGCCCACTCGACATGAAATACTAGCTCTTAACTTCCTAGTTTTATTAAAAATAGATGGGTGACTGCTAGACTTAGTGGGGCAACCACATGGTAAGGCATAAAAACACCAAATCAGCCGAAACCGGTTTGGCTCATTGGATAGCGCGGCGGCTTGCGGACTGGAGGGTCCCAGGTTCGATTCCGGTCAAGGGCATGTACCTGGGTTGCGGGCACATCCCCAGTAGGAGATGTGCAGGAGGCAGCTGATCGATGTTTCTCTCTCATCGATGTTTCTAACTCTATCTCTCTCCCTTCCTCTCTGTAAAAAATCAATAAAATATATTTTTTTAAAAATCTCAGTTTAAAAAACAAACAAAAAACAAAAAAAACACCAAATCAATGTGAGGCACACCTGAAACAGATACAACCAATTAAGACTGTAGACCAACTATACTTATATTAAAAAAACCAAAACAAAACAAAAACACACAACTTAAAAATAAGCAATTTAAAAGAACAAAACACACATGTAGCCAGCTGCCCATTTAGTCCCCGCAGTGAAGGTGTCAGAAGGACACATGCCCCTGTGTGCAGTGCCCTCTGGAGCCCAAACCCCTCCCTGCGGAGCACTGGGTGGGGTTGGAAGGTGGGGCTTTTCCTGACTCCATTCTCATGCGGGAAGACACACTCAGGCTCCTGTGTTAGTGCAATTCTGTTTCTATTTTTTTAAAAAAATATTTTTATTGATATCAATGATGAGAGAAAAATCATTGGTCAGCTGCCTCCTGCACGCCTCCCACTGGAGATCGAGCTGAAACCCAGACATGTGCCCTGACGGGGAATCAAACCAGTGACCTCCTGGTTCATAGGTAGATGCTCAACCACCACTCCATGCGGGCCGGGCGAGATGACGTTTCTGCAGGGCAAAGTGGCCCTTCGTTCTCCGGGGCTGTTTAGGAG